CTACGATCCTTGCCTGCCATAAACTGCATACTTGCGGAAGGTTTCTACGCAATATTAAAATAATTATTGGGACAACTGATTTAAAGTTGGATTTGTAACAACCTTTAATGGGTTACAAAATAGAATGGAATTTCTTTTTTTGAAATGTCCATTATTTCCAATTTACATCAGTCATATTTTAAGAGATTAATTTGAAAAATAAATAAATTAATTAAAAATTGTTTCAATAATTAAAAGAATATTAAAAGATATTCTTTTCTAAGAATACAAGAAAAAAAAGGAATTTATTTCAACATAGTGCAATAAACCGATTCCATAAAATGCAAGTTCAGCAATTTTGGCATGGCAACAGGTCCAACGCCCTGTCCCCACCATCTTTTATTGCAATATTTTCCCACCTAATTAGAAATCCATCAAACTATAAAAGACACATCAATGACCATCCAAATTGTTCAGTACGGTTTCCCACAGCACAGAGACTCGAACTCTGTCGGAGTAAAAATAATATTTCCTATAACGTTCCCGTCCGGTATACAGGATCCAAAGTGATTGTATGCTTATACAAGCAATTTGGCCGGACGTAAAATAAAATTTTAAAATACCTCGAAATCCGCGTGGTCGTCTGAAAAATTAAAATAGTGAAGAAATAAAATTTTATAAAATCTTTCTTGTCGAAAAGACCGGCCGGTTTCGTGTTGTTGCCGCGTCCGCCCTGTTTTAATGGTTTAAGAAATTAATTTAAGAAATTAATAATTAAGGACAATAAAAATTCATAATTGTGCGTGTACGTGTGACCGCATTTCGAAAAATTGTGAAATCTTCGCCCGCAGAAAGAAGAATCTTCTGACGGTAGTTTTAAGGATCCCGGAGCAGTAAGTACTCTGTGTCGTTCTGGGGTAACAAATACCATTTTCCTCCCTCATTTAATTGTGCGAAAGATGGAAAATAACAATATTAAATTTTAATAAATTTACTTCTTTAACTATAACTATTATTCTTCATTCTATTTTGTTCTCTCCCCTTTTTTTTATTTCTGACTTAAGCAACAAGGAAACACGAATCCTATAAGATTAAACAGAGCTCACGCTTTGGCAGTTTGAATTCCTCCGACAAACTCGAAAATAGGGCCATCTCAAAGGCCTAAAATAATCTATATAGTTAATTTAACTATATTTTTATACCTATTATACCTATTTTTATAGTGGGGGCTCCAGAACATTATTTGAGGTTAAATAGAATTTCTTTTGACAGAGAGAAAAATTCATCTTTCCTCATTTTCAAAAAAAACAAAAAAAAAGAAGTATTTTCTTTTACTTTTTCCTAAAATTTTATATCTAATTTCTTTTCAATACCCAATGTTAATTTTGACTTTTTAATTTGTTCGGAAAAATTAAGAAAAGAAAAATAATTTTCTTTAATTAATTTCTCCTGTTTGATTGAAGGTGAGTAGTATGTGACGACCCTATTTTAATAGTGGGGGCTCCAGAACCTCAGTTAGGGTTGAACCAAGGTTTTTGTCAATAGGGAGAAAAAGGTGTTGATTATTATTATTATTCTTTTGATTGAAAAGAAATAACTTTTTTTAATATCAGCCTAAATTTGAAACAGAAATTGAAAAGAAAATTTAGTAAAATTTTCTTTTAATTTCACTACTTGACTAGGAGTGAAAAGTATGTGACGACCCTATTTATAGTGGGGGCTCCAGAAATTCATTTAAGGTTAAGTTAAAATTTTACTGACGAAAGAAGATTGATTTTTGTTTATTTCTATTCTCTTTAACTTAGTTGTCTTCCTTTAACATTTATTTTTCTTTCATTATCTAATTTCCTTTAGTTCATCTTAATTTGTCTGAAATGTTTTGCAATGCCTCATAAATGTAGAAATGTTCACGGAGGAAAGAAACTAAAGAACTTGATAAGAATTAGGAATTACACTAAAATAGAAAAAGAATAGTCAATTTATATTCCTTATGAAATTTCTTTAATCATTCTTTTGCAAATGAAAAATTTGTTATAAGTTAAAATTTAAAACTATACGTTTAATTTTGATTTTGTCGTAGATATTCCGTGACGACAAGTCTCCATGATACGCTCACTGGAAGACAAGTCTCCAAAATTCTATTATAAAATACTTAACAAATTATTTCAATTGCAAGAAATAAGGGAACTTGCAGAAAGATTAGATTTTCAAAATAAAATCAAATATAACAATTTTAATCAAACCAATTATACTTTTACTATCATATAAATTTGCAGTAAATGGAAAAGCTATAGAAATTTTAAACTCTGTCATCTCTCAGACAGTTTTCCCTGCAACCTTTCATTTTCCAACTAACAATTTTCCTCTAATTTTTTTGGGAGAATTTCTTTTTTTTTGTATTTTACTACTGTAAAGCACTACAAAATCCGCATCCAACGAGTCCAATATGAAATATTTTGGATAAATTGACGTTTTATAAATAAATATTTATAAAAATTAATTAACAAATGAATATCATTTATAAAAATAAAGATAAAGTGTTAGTTTTTTTTACACAAATGTTTATACAATTCTACTTTTAAAAAAATGTATTCCAGTTATTTGCAACCATTGTTTAAATAAAATATTCAACACCTTATGCGTGTGTTCCGCTGTTTAACTGTATCTTTCTCTTCTGATAGATAATAGATAACACAATGAGGCAAAAATTCTCTTATTCTTATTTTTCTTTTAATATGTTAAATATTTAAAATTCGTTTGACGTGTGTTATCAGTTAAAATAGAAAATTAATGTTTACGTATTTAAATTATTTGTCTAAATTAATTCAACTATTTCACGTAAACAATATTGTAAATCTGATAAAATTTTCCAGACTAAAATATAAATTATTTAGAAAGGGGTATAAACTTAAAATACACATACTATAAAAGAATTATTAAAATTATCCTCTTTCTAAATAAATAAATAAACTTCTCTGATGCCTTAAATTTATAGTATAACCTGCCGAAGTGCAACTCGATATTTTTAATTTTTTTTGGTAAAACAGTACTTATAAAATTATTTTATAATTCAATTTTATGGTATTTTACAACATTTCAAAACTAAGTGAAAATAATTCTTGTTGGACATTATTAATTTAAAAAAAAGGTATTTAAAGCAGTGTTGCATTCCGACAGGTCCGATTGTAATCGTTTTTCAGAAAACATAAGATTGTAATCTTGAATCGATGAGTGTATTTTATTTTTTGTATTAAGGATGAGAGTAATGATTCTCTTTAAATTAAGGTATCCTGCTATAAAGCATTGAGTATTTATTTTAAACTTCCACTGGTAAAATAGATAGGTTAAACAAAATGAGTAATCTACTTAATTTAAGGTGGATCTTTACTGTTTTTGTATGTGTGATTTTGAAAACATGCATGAGGTAAATGTTTCTCTTAACACAGATGATTAACAAACAAATAAACAAAAATCAAATATAATATAATGTAATATAAATATAATGTAGATAAAACTACAAATTTAAATGTAAAAGAAAAACATTTATGACATGAAGTATTTATGCGTTTCCTGAAAGACATGAAACTTATGTCATAACCCAAGTTCATTTTCATTGCGACTTGTTTTCGGGGACGAAAAACGGAATTTCCACGGTGGTTTGTTACGCCATTATCGTAACAAAAATTTTACAAAAATTTTATATTTTATTTATCATTAATTAAAATTAATTAATGAAATGCATGCTTAGCATTTTGCAATCGCGCAGAAAATGAACTCGGTTCAAAGATCGTAATCCTTTTTCTTCCGTCTGAAAGTACTATTTCAGCAATTAAAATATTTTATTTTCATGACTTTCAGGTAAATCAATTAATGAAGGGCTATCATTTTTATTTTTTTTATGACTTTAGAAACAACAACCACATAAGCAAATGAGTGTGTGTATACGTATACATATATATATACATATATATATATATATATATATATTTAAAAATCAAATAATTATTTTATTTTTTTCAAAGGTACGAAATATCTTTGTAGGTATGCTTATAAGTAATTCTTATAGTGTAACAAATGACCTTTTAAATAAGCGTAAGATTGTTGAAAAGCTTTCATTATTTTAGAAGTTATTCAAATTTTTGTAAAACATTGAAAATTACGATTTTTAAAAATATTTAAATGAATTATTGGCCAAATGACTTCTGAATAATCTTGTTCTTTTCAAAATTTTATCATCCTTCAAAAAATAAAAAGAAAAAAATTTTAGTTTCCATAAATTTGATGTTTTTAAATGTTTTCCATTCACCTGAAAATGAGTGCTCTCTTAATTTTGACCGGTAGTGTACTCTTCCTGATTATATTTTTGACATCCTCACAAAATGTCAACTTAATTTATTCAATATATTAAGAGAAAAATGGTGTCAAGGAAAAAAAAGTATTTACAAATTTAGAGTACAGATGAATTCAGTCCTTAAAAAACAGGCCCACAATCTATATCGAGAAATTCATCCATGGATTAACGAGAGATAAAGAAGAGGCATATATACATAATTTTCGAATAGAATAATTTAAACGTTATTTTGCGTGAATATAAGTTTTGAAATGAAATTGTAGGAAGACATAACAAAGTCATGAGAGTGAAAGGGGCGAAAATTGTACAGTCGCATCTCTCGTGAGAGATTCAGACTCGTATGTACATGTATATATAAATGTATAAGAAATTCACGACACATCGTGGCTGGTACACGCATTGACGATTATGATGATATCGTCTCTCCTCGATCTGGCCTGTTTTGCATAATAAGAAGCAAGGGCACGCATGCAAATTTTCCATACACACTGATAAGCCCTACTGCAAAGATGAAACCAGATGAAAGAGGTATATAGAAACTTTGTTACGATATCAGATTTGAGACGATACCCGCGCTCACATTTATCCCTAGAATTGTATAGGTACATATCTGTATATATTGAACGGAACGTCGTTTTCTGAAACACGCCGTTAATCGCTCCTGCCACAGGCACACGATGGATAACACGATTGCACGTAGCTTGAATACAATTCCTCGCAATTCACAGTGTATAACGCTTTTGATCCATCTTATTTAAAACTGGCATTGAGGAAATAGATTTACTTTGCATTGTAGATTGTGAAAAAGTTTTTGCGTGCATTCAAATTTCAGTGTGTTTATTTGTGGAAATAGTCGGAAATTTAACTAGTCAAGTTTCTATATTTCGTTATGTGAGTATATTTGTAATTATATGACGAAGATATTAATCAGTTTTTAATGATACTAGATGAAAATTGCGCGCGCCAACGGTATTTAGCATTTGGTAATGAAAAATTAATTTTTAAAACATAATTAAAAATAATTTATAAAAAATAGAAATATTTATACAAAATAAATGCTCAATTTTGTTTAGTGTAAAAAACATTAATTAATTATTTTTACACATGAAGTAATACGAACAAAATCATTAAAAACTAGGCCTAATTTTAATCAAATAAATTTTTTAAAAATGAAGAAAAAATAAAATAAATTTTTTGTATATACAAACATTAAGGAAAAAATTATTATAAAATAAATAAATATATTTATAAATATGAATCAGTGAAATTCTACTTAAGATTAGTGAAATTTGACTGAAAATCAGTGACTCTATTCTCGCGATTTGAATCAGTCATTTTTCACTGAAAATCAGTTCAAAATGACTGAAATATCAGTCATTTTTCACTGATTGGCCAATTGGAAAGTTAGTTGAAATTTCTGTCACGTATATTGAAAATTTCAGTTATTATTTAATTGACCAATTAGGGAAATATGACTGAAATTTCAATCAATTTTAACTGATCATCAGAGGAATTTCACTGATTCATGTCGACTCGAAACTAAATTAACAAACTGAATTTAGTTTCGAGTCGACAGGAAACTAAAATCAGTTTGTTAATTTAGTTTTGTGTCAACTCAGAAACTAAAATGAAACTAAACTTTCGAAACGGTTCCTAGTATTTATTAAAATATAAATTTTATTTACTTATAAAATATATATTTTATAAGTCCCGTGATTTTCTATATAAATAAATAATTAATATATTAATTATTTATATATTATTTATTACTAGCTGTCGTACCCGTCTTCGACAGGTTTTAGTTTCTAATAATGCATTTAACAGTGTATCTACCATCCTAGAAAACCGGGAAATAGCCGGGAATTTGATTTGACAGAGAAAAAATAATAATAATTAGTTACCATTGACTATTTCATTAGGAAAATAATACCATTTGAATCAGTGACCGACTTTTTATTATCAAATTTGTTATTTTTAACTAATTCAAATGCAGAAAACAATATTTCTCAATTTTTAGTACTTTAATTAATATATTTATTAAACTCAATCCAAAATTTACTCCAGTTTTTTGAGTTATAGTAAAGTCTTATTCGAACTAATTGTGTTGATACGTATGAGAAACATCTCATATCACGATCGTTAAATTAATAATAATCGTTCAGGGAAGTAAATGATTGATACTGAGTTTGAAGTTATACATATATTTAAGACAAAAGTTAAAGTTCATATTACAATCTTGTGGTTAGTCGCGAGTACATGTTTCGATTCCGAAAGTTGCTGTTATTCTGACAATTTGCAAAAATGGAAGGTATTTCAAAGTGAGAAAAATGAGTTTTTTAGGTGGGAGAAATTTGGAAACGCCCAAATTATACGCCCTCAAGATGTGGGGTTAAAAGTGGAGGAAACACTTAAGGTGCGAGAAAATTACATCTCTAATGAAGCTAGTACCTCCATAAACCGTAGGACCTCGATAATCTGCCCCTCAATAAATGTAACAATAGTTCATTTTGGTTAGGTTTCGTATTCAAAAGAACGACGTGACAATTTTAGAATTTTGCTTCTTAAGTTATAAGTGTTTATTTTTTCCCCTTTTTTATTACGGTAAAAACCCACGAAGAAATTTGTAGAATCGAAAAGATCTTAAGTTACAGACAAAATAAAATTCGTAGTCGTTTCTAATTTTATGAATTTAGATATAGAAAGAAGTTTGCTTGTATATTTTAAACCTTAAACTATTATTAACTTGAAATATTAACTATTCACTTAACATACCGCCCACCTTGAACTAATCTAGTTAAAAAAAAATTAATTAGAGTTGATTGAATTCACTTAAATGTCCTTTAATTGATAGGGAGAGGAACTATGCGTTTTACAGATCGCTTATAAGTTCCAGTTGTAGTTCGGACAGTTACAACTCTAACAATTGAGTCATCACCAGGGTGGATTTCAATAATTCTACCCAGGTGCCAGCGTAAGGGTGGAATGTTGTCTTCTTTGAGGATGACCATGGTGCCAATTTCTGGATTCTCTTCTTTGGATTGTTGCCATTTGCAACGGACATTCAGTTGATTAAGGTACTCCTTGTACCACCTTTTCCAAAAACACTGCTTCATCCGTTGAACATTTTGCCAGTTTGACAGCCGATTTTCTGGTATATCAGAAAGATCGTGTTCTGGTACACTCATTAGTGAATCACCAATTAGGAAATGGGATGGAGATAATGATCTCAGATCATTAGGATCAGATGATAAGGGAGTTATTGGTCGGGAGTTAAGGATTGCTTCGATCTCGGTAGTAAATGTACTCAATTCTTCAAAAGAAAACAATCTTTCGCCAATAGTTCTGATAAAAAGATATTTAAAAGATTTTACTGCAGCCTCCCACAAACCACCAAAATGCGGAGAACTTGGAGGTGAAAACTTCCAATTAATGCCCTGATTCTCGAGAAATGTTAACACTTGGTCATTGTGATTTTCTGAGTTTAAAAGTTCGCGCAATGTTTTTGTTATTTCATTATTTGCGCCAACAACATTAGTTCCGTTGTCGGAAAATATAGTAGAGCTGAAAAAACTCTACGAGCAAAGAATCTTTTCAAACAACCGATAAAAGTTTCGGTAGTTAAATCACTAACCAATTCAATATGACAAACCTTTGTAGCAAAACATACGAATATTGAAATATAGGCCTTGACTTTGCCTCTATTTCTGTGCTTTTTTTCTTTAATAAAAAATGGACCACAATAATCAACACCAGTAACTATAAAAGGTCGCGATTGAGTAATTCGTTCCTTGGGTAAATTGCCCATTAAATAATTTTGATTCGTAGGTTTTGCACGTAAGCAAATTATGCATTTTTTAATAACACTTTTAACAGTGCTCATACCATTAATTGGCCAATAATTAGATCTGACTGCATTCAATGTTGCTTGAGAACCACTGTGATAATTTATTTCATGTTCAAATCTAATTATTAAAATTGTAATGTGGTGCGATTTTGGCAAAATTATTGGATATCGCTCGTTATACGATAATGTTGAATTTTTTAATCGTCCTATCACGCGTAATGACCCATCTTTGTCTAAAAAAGGATTCAAAGAAATTAAACTGCTTGAACGATGCAAACTTTCATCGTTTGTCAATGACTTTATTTCGCGTAGAAAAAATTGTTTTTGCAATAAACTAAGAACTTTTTTCATTGCAAGTTGCGTTTCTTCAATTGACAGATGTGTCATGTTTACCTTTGTTTCAGAAATTTTTAATTCAACACTTTCTTTTCTCGATTTTACCTTATTCTTTAAATTGTTAAAGAATTTCATGCAATATGCAATAACTCGCTTAGTTTTTCTGAGAGAAGAAAATTTGTTCAAAATGCAATTTGTATCATTTGTTTTAATTTCATTATTCGCAATTAATGCAACGTTACTCTTTAATTCTAAGTTTGGTACTTTATTGAATTGACTACAAGGCCAATGCTCCTCAGAAGAACTAAGCCAGCTTGGACCGGTAATCCGCATTGCATTTTGTATGAATTCACTAGGCATTTGACCTCTTGAAATAAAATCTGCAGGATTTTGCTCTGTTGGAACATGTTTCCAATCTGAAGGATCTGTAATTTCGCGAATTTGAGAAACACGTTTTGCAACAAACGTTTTTAAGAGATACGGTTCTGTATTAATCCATTGTAAGGTGACTGTTGAATCTGACCAGAAATGCACCGCATCGATTTTAAGGCACAAAATTGATTTTACAAAGTTTAAAAGATTTTCTAGAAGAAAAGCCGAGCACAATTCCAATCTTGGTATTGTAATTGACTTTAAAGGAGCCAAACGTGTTTTTGAGCACAATAAATTTACATAAATTTCATTTTTTGCATTTTGTGAACGAACCTATATGCAAGCACCATAAGCTGCTTCACTTGCATCACAAAACCCATCATCAACAACAAGTCGCGGAAAAGTAACATCATTCAAGCAATTCAAATCTTGTCTATAATTTTGCCAATCAGTGTGAATTTCGGGCGGAACTGACTCGCCCCAATCACACTTAAGTTGCCATAACCGTTGCATAAAAATTTTCGCTTTTATTATTATAGGGCGTAATAATCCAATTAGATCATATAATAACTGTGCGATTTGAGAAAGCATAGAACGTTTTGTGATTCTTGTATTATTTAAAATGTTGCTAATTGTGTAAGTTAACTGATCGGTTCTTGGATTCCATTGAATGCCCAGAGTTTTGATTGATAATGATGGATCAGAAAACAATTTAATATTTATTAAATCATCTGGTAATGAAAATATTAATTCTAAATCATTTGAACACCACTTACGTAACTTGAAACCACCAAGTTTTAACAATTCAATTAATTCATCGCGTAAAGCAATCGCTTCATTTTGATTTTTTGCACCTGTGAATAAATCGTCAACGAAAAAATCTCTCTTAATAATTTCCGACGCGTCTGGAAAATTTTCCTTCTCATTTTCAGCTAGTTCTTGAAGGACACGGATTGCTAAATATGGTGCCGAAGCGGTACCATAAGTGACCGTTGTTAATTCGTATATAGCTAACTCTTTGCTTGGATCATCGCGCCAAATTATTTGGTGAAACCTATCATCTTCATCAATATTTATCATGCGATACATTTTCTCGATATCAGCTGATAAAAGTATTGTATGAGTTCTTGATCGAATTAAAATTGCTATAAGTGGTTGTTGGACAGTAGGACCGACCTTTAACGCATCGTTAAGCGATAATCCGTTCTTTTTTTTCGAGGAACCATTGTAAACGACCCTACAACAGGTAGTCGAACTATCTGCTCTTAAAACTGCATGATGAGGTAAGAAGTAACCATCATCAGGTATTTTGTCAACAGTAACCCTTTTCATGTGACCT